CCAGTGTTGCCAACTAATTTTCAGGGGAAGTTGCTAAAGGCAGATCCGTTTGTTGCTAAAAGTTGCTAAATGTCATTGTGATGTCATTGCGTGATGACGTCATTGCATAACCATGACACAAAACAGCGTTTTTACGTAGAATACACAACGAGATTACTCAAATCTCAGCGAAAAATATTGTTTTAAATGTTATTTGTTCATAAAAATATTATAAACATAAAATATTTTAATTTGTAAAAGTAACATAAGTAGCACATCTTTATGATCGGATTTTTTAGAACATTGAATTATTGAACAGTTAAACACTTGATGTATTTTCTTATTAACTAGTAGAGCTGCACATTCTTAACCATTATAGTTTTAAGCAGTGTACTGGTAGTTGGTTAGTGTGCTACACAAAAGTCTGTAAAAATAGGACACAATGTAATGTTTATATGAAGGGACAATACGTATTTATTTTTTGCATGTGTTTTACACAGTGTTTTACCTGTGTTTTGAATTCCACATTGCATTTTGTGTTTTAAGGTTACAGGGTTACAACTTAATGGATAACATCGTGGCAGAAAATGACTAGTACCTTTTCAATTTTTCCACATATTTTTTCTTACAGTGTACCTAACTGAACAACAATTATATATACAAGCTAATAACATGCTGTATCATAAATGTGCATTTATTATTGACCAATTGGAACTAGCAACTTAATGCACATTTGATTTTTTTTACTGTTAGGCATCTTGTTCCAGCTCTCTCCAGGTTGATGTGCTGCTTGGCTGGCTAGCTGTTCAATGGTTTCCTCTTTTTGTGTAATTTAGTTGAAAATATGCACCTTTTTTTTATAATTTGAGTCACTTTACAAAAGTTGCTAAAAGTTGCCAAATACTTTTTAAAAATAGCTAAATTTGTTGCTAGGTGCTTTTTGAAAAAAAAAGTTGCTAGGGTAGTCTGAAAAGTTGCTAAATCTAGCAACAAAATTGCTAAATTGGCAACATTCAGCACTGACCTAGAGGGATAGAGAATACAGTAGACATGATTCAAAAGTTTGTCGCCGTCACTTTTTGATCAATAATTATTATATTTTAGGATATTTGTGCTGCTTGGCTGCTGTGGAAAAACAAAAATGTAGCTAGATTCTAAATATAAATTGTACATTGATACATAACTAATATTCATGAGGCACTTAATCAATATTCACATTACTATTGTGCCGAGATTTTTCTGAAACATCTCCTTAAAAAGGTAAGGTTTAAAACTATTTTACTGTAGTATTATTATTATTATTATTTTTATTTTTTGCAATGCATGCTGCGTACAAAAATAAATTAATTTGTGCAACATGCAGCTTTGAACATTTATAAACTATGCACTAAACTTCTCAGCTTGAGAAGGCTGAAGTGTGACTGACAAAACGGATTCAAATGATTCATTCAGTGTCTCTATAACCGGTTTAAATCGGACCTGTCCAGTTCATCCACCGGGGTGCCTGAGCCTCCCTTTCCACAGTAGCATCCGTAGTCTGCATAATCCAGTGCAGGCCAGCTATCAGGGATGTTACAGAGGATCATAGCCCTGAACTGCCACAGCGCGCGGTAGTCTAGAGTCGCCAGCACTGTTAAACAGTGATAGTTTATCAGTGCTTCATACTGATTAGCAATCTAATGATGAAATAAAATCAAAATGTTATGTAAACAACTATCTTAATCAACAACTGTTCTGTACTTACCAAACTGTCTAAAAAAGACAAACATTCTTTTAAATTTTAGGAATATAGTACATAAGAACCATTTTTATCATATATTTATGAGTTTTTTTGCACACACACATATAGTGCAAGCTTCACTAGTCAATAGAAGCACCAAAATTAATCTCATAAAATCTTTAATTCACCATTTGCCTTACAAAATATTTATGAGAGGTGTATAGCAGTTTTAGATGACTGGTTTGTTTGTGCTTCATCCAGTGTTCCATACTTGTGATCTTGTAAAGACCAGGGAGGTCTGTTGTAACACAGTTAGTTTTTATGACCAATTACTTTAGGTATTTTAAAATGATTATTTAGAGAATCAAAATTTGATTATCAGAGTACGAAATGTAAATACAAAACATAAAATGTAAATGGGCTGGGCATCCATGTTTTCATGGATTACAATCCACCCTGGTAGTCACAGCACTGTTTTTTTTAAACATTAATTTACACAGTTTAGGGACAAGATGTCGTTTTCAGTTTACAATTGGAATATTATATGAAAGTTTAAGCAAAACAACCATAACACGAAGTCACAGACATTGAAACAAAACACTCTCCGCACTTCCCAAAGCTAATTTCACTCTACAATCTTTTTGGCATGCATGGACAGTTTTCCGACTTTAGGTCTTGTTTACAGAAATTCTGTCATTCCACAGCCTCATGTTGTTCCAAACCTGTATGACTTTCTTACTTCTACAGAACACAAAAAGGAGCTCATTGCATTTAATTGTATGGAGAAAAAAAATGCTCAAAATATCTTCTGTGTTGTACAGAAGACACAAAGCTTTTTTCGGAATAACATTAAAGGGTAAATGATGACAGAATTTTCTTTTTTTTTTTTTGGTTGGAGTATCCCTTTAAGTTCTGTTAAGGCATTCTCATTAAATATTTTATGTAATGAGCAAGTTATTAGTTCAATTATTGTACTGACTAACAAATAAATGAATAAAAAAATAAAAAATAAACGAATAAATTATGTGAATTATATTCAATATATCTATAAGTTAAACATTTGTTTTGCATACATAATAAAATATAATAAATGGAGTTGAATAGTAGAACACATCTTAAGTATACTCACAGGTGGGCAGACTCACACTCAGGATCACGACAGAGAGGAAGGTGTTCATGGTGAAGACTGAATGAACAGGTATTGGCCAATTATTTATAGGTCTATAACTTATTATATTATAGACCTATTATAGAATTATATAACCTTGATGGGTGGGGCACATTGATAAGCTAACTTTGTGAATTACAAACAAATGCACATACATGGGGCAGTCATGGCCTAATGGTTAGAGAGTCTTGGACTTGTAACCTAAAGGTCGCGGGTTCGAGTCTTGGTACCAACAGGGATTGTAGGTGGGGGTAGTGAATGACCAGTGTTCTCTTCCACCCTCAATACCACGACTGAGGTGAGACCTTTGAGCAAAGCCCCAACTACTCCCTGGGGGATGCAGCAAAAATGGCTGCCCACTGCTCCGGGTGTGTGTGTGTTTGTTCACTACTCACTGCTGTGTGTGCACACTTGGATGGGATAAATGCAGAGCACAAATTCTGAGTATGGGACACCATACTTGGCCACACATCACGTCACTACATGTACACACACAAGCGCCCAAACTTACAGTTGCTGAGATTGTTGAGTGTGCTTATGTACACTTATCTACGTTTGTGTGTGTGTGTGTGTTTTGATCTTTGGGAACGTCAGCATATGTTTGCAATTTGCACAGCTGGTACAAGAATTCCGTTTTCTCAAAAAATCATGAGAATTTAAGACTTGGAAGAAGTTGCAAAACAGCTGTCAGCACACAAAAGTGTGTGTGTTGTTTTTTTTTAATGACCAAAATGACAGCAAATAACACAATTATGTTCTGTACATGCACATTTCACTTATTACAGGGTATTTTGTTGCTATATAGTGGTGTGAGAGTGACCATGAATGCAGTAAGAGTGATGAGAAAGCTGCTGATGTCTTTGGAAGCTGAGCTGCAAACACTCGAGGATAGATGATTATTGGAGGCGTTATAAGGTGCTTGAGCAAAACACTCCGCTGCAGTCTTGTCACACTGGCAGATGAACATATCACACTCATCATTACTGTCTGAAAGAGAAAAAGAGAAGTTGTATAAAGGAGCGTGTTTAATTGTATTGAATGCGCCCTTGTAGTGTACTTCAGCTCTTATTTGCAGATAAAAACACTAATGAAATAAAAGGCGTACTTAAAAAGAGTATCATGACTGTTTAATAACACACTTTTGTACACTTAAAAGAAGATGTACTTATGTCTTAAGTGGCTCAAAAAAGCATATTAATGGTTAACTAATTGCATTTAATATAAGTTTGAACTTTAATACATTTTAATTTAATTTCAGTTAACATGCAAACATTAGGCTACATAGTTTGCAGTATATTTTTCTCTACTTATTTAAAATCCTATTTACTTATTTTAGACAGGTTATGTAAATTATACAACAGTTAGTTCTGTTCTGTAGGTTGTATCCTACATTTGTCTGTGTTTGTTCCAAACAGGCTGTCAGTTTTTGTATTAATTGTTGGGATTTTCATTGCGGTTTTCTGCAGTTATAGTTACGCCAGTAGGTGTAGGCTACTATCTTTACGAGTGAGCTATTTGAATCGACCATTCAACAACACTGATTCAGTCAGGAATTTTGAGTGAGTCATTGATTCATTCACTCAACCGATTCGTACAGCAATATTGATTAATTTAGAAAGAAACGCCACTTGTTCGCAGATGCACAACAGTTTGCCTGTTTCACACCGCAAGCGTTATTTCAGAGATTGTCTTACTATAGGGAGATGAGAGGGTCTGTATTACTTACTATTGGAGAAAGCCTAACAGTCAACTTGGATCACATGTGCCTTAATAACCAATCACATTACAGCCTTGATGTCACTGAATTTCATTCAGAGTTGTGCGACACTCAATCGCCGTTTATGGATACCACAGAGAAATGCCGTAAGCTGAAGACCTGCTGAAGATGCTGGAAATGTTCGGTGATGTTACTAGAATAGACAGCAATGTCATCAAAATAGACCATGCAGCACTTTCCTTTTACTCCCTCAAAGACTATAGAATACCCAAGACGTGTCACTTGTATAGTTTTGAATGGGGAAAAATGCAATGCTCAATATGGCCACGCTATAGAACGAAGCCCCACCTTCTAAGTAAAAGAGCCAATTGCTAATCGGTAAAGTCAGCGCGTCACTGCAGCGTTCTGAGACATGCGCTCATGCGCACTGGCTGGTCTAGCCTGAAAAATAGACTTTTTTAAGGCCATTTGAGCAAAAGAAACAACATTTATGAGAATTATACAATTTTAAGCTTGGCGAACAGTTTTGGAGAAATTGATGTTTCCCCATTCAAAAAGACAGAAGCAGCACTTGCATGCCCAAGAGTCGTTTCAAAGATGGCCGTTGAGTGACATGACTTGTCTTAAAGGAACTTTGGCTGAACCCCACCTGTCGAAAAAAGTCAGTGACTTCTCTTATAAAACTGCATTTTTTTCGGTGTAAACTCTAAAAATAGTTCAATCCAAAAGTATTGCTTAGTGTAAAACATATAGGAGATTAGCCAATAGGCTGTCGATTCATTAAATGATCGCGTTTGGTCTCGTTCTGTACCGTGCATCTTGTCAGTGTCTGCGCTTGCTTGGCCATTTGTTGTGGAAAAAATAAGGAAAGTGTGTTCAAGCGCCAGCAGAAAACATTGTAAAGAAATACTCTTTGAGAGAAGCAGTCTTTATCAGCGGAAGTTAAAAGCAGCTCGTAAGTGTATTTACTTGTCTCATTAGTGTTTAGTGCAGTTGTAGTTGCTAGGAAACGCTTGTTTTGTTTACTGTGTGGAGATGTGCTGATATCGCGTTTGGTCTCGTTCTGTATCGCGTATCTTGTCAGTGTCTGCGCTTGCTTGGCCATTTGTTGTGGAAAAAATAAGGAAAGTGTGTCCAGCTGAATTAATTTAGTATTTTATTAGACGGGTATAAAAAAGCTTAGTTAAACAGTAGTGTCACGTGACGGCCTCCTCGTTTAAAGACCGAAGAGTGTAAAGACCATCGACTCTACCGTGCGACTCCACCGGGCAGGACACCGGCAAAGGATAAGTATCGCTTTTTATTTCTCCTCTTTCCTACTACTTGTTTTACTTCTGTTTCAGTTTTTTATAACCATTTCTTACTATGTTAAGTAAGTTGTTGTTTTTTAGCATGTAAGTTTGGCAGTGTTATTTTTTAGGATTACTGATAAACTACTGTCGTTTGATTTGTATTATTTGTATTTGTTATTTATTTTAATTTGAGTTAAATTATCTCTGAATTTATTATGTCTGTATAGGTCTTTTTTATTTAATTTCTTTATTTTTAAAATGTGTATAAGTAGTATTTATAAAGTTTTAGCTTTTACATTTGGATGTGTTTTTAGTTGTTTTAATACTACAATTGATTGCTTCTGTTGTACTCATTTGTAAGTCGCTTTGGATAAAAACGTCTGCTAAATGGCTAAATAAATAAATGATAAGCTGTTTCCTCTAAAAAGCTGTTTATTCAGCGTAGTGAAGCCTCTCCTCCATTGACATCCATTAAA